TAGCCCCAGTTTAGGACCTAACCTAAGCCTGCTCCCCAATATAAAGGGAGGACATCATAACTCAGGTTCTAACCTCAAGGCATCATCTAATCTTACCACCCCTCGGGGCTCAAGCCACATCTCCATGTCTCCTATAAGCATAGGCTCTAATAATGGCTCGAGCACAATTCAAAACACTACACACACACTCCATAACCATTTCTCCACCTTGAGGCATGATATTATAGTAGGCAATCAGACTGGGTCCATTCATGGAAGCAGTATAAGCCCGGACCCGAGCACCATGCTATTCCTCCCTGCTGATCCCAAAACAACTGGTGCTAGTCCTGGCTTTTCAATGTCAAACCCAATCTACAATGCAAGTAGCTATAATTTTGATAATTTTTTAAAGCAAGACGCCTTTGCCAGCCCCATCTCCATTTCTACAAGTGCACCTTTGAGATCAATGCTACAATCAGTCACCATTCCCGGGAATACAACCAGCTACACTTTCCTCGACCTAATTCCAGATCAGATCTACAGCCTTCAGGTACCAGATTATAGTATGGCAGAAAATTACAGCTTCAAGATAGCATTAAAATATAAAAAGAATCATTTTAACAATGGGATCATCTTTGTTCCAGACATAAATGTAATGAGATTTCTAAATGCTTTTGTGTATTTACATCTCCTGGTGCTTCCTCATTAAAGACATATTAGGCATTAAAGTCACTATAACCTTATGATTTACATTCATAATGAGGTGGCGTGCTGACACTGAAAAAACTGGTCTCTTATATCCAGGTGAAAGCATGCACCAGTGTGGGATGTTCGGTGTCTGGAGTGTCTCAGCTTTTTCGTACGCTCCCTGCTCCTCCCGAAGGGGTTCCTGCACCTCACCTCTACTCTGACACTCCCACATCTGTTCTCTTATCCTGGGGTGCGCCAACGAGAAGCAATGGACCACTGGAACGGTTGGAGACAATTAAATACACTTCAATCCACCTTTCACATTAAATTTATTTTAAAAATGTGTCATAAATTTTGTTTCACCATGTGTTGGCTGTAGCTGGGTGATAGAACGAAGAGTTTCCAGTACCAAAGAAATCTCCACAGTAGGTCATCTCCCACCAGATCCTCCCCCACTTTCTTTCCTGGACTCCTCGTCAGCTCTCAGTCCTTGGACTAGCTACCAGTATCGACTGATGCTAATTAATCAGGCTGGCAATTCCACAGGTAAGGCTGCAACAGCATTGAAAAATCAAATCTTGGTGAGAGTGATGTTTCAAGTTCTGACATTATATGAAAAAAATACATCTTCTATAACATCGTGTTACATACTGCAGGGCCCTGGGCCAACGTCACCACAAGGCCTTCGCGACCTGCTGGTCTCAGTCCACCAAGAGTAAAGGTCTTGGGACCGGAATCACTTCAAGTAAGGATTTTTTTTTTCTTTCGTATATAGTTTTTTAAAATTATTATTATTTCTTTAATATCTTCTTACATCGGCTATGAAAGCAGGCTACTTTAGAAATTGTTCTGAAGCACAGTGTTGTTATTTAATCATGCTTGGTGCTACTTAATGCTAATTTATCACATAACATTTAACTGGCAAAAAGTTTCCTAATCCCAAAATGAACTAGTGAAGTGTTTATTAAATGTTTGCATGCATTATTTTAAATTGAAAAATAAAGTTTTGCTTCATTGAGCATCTCCCCAGTCACTGTGGGTTGACAGAGCAGAAAAGACAAAGCAATGTCACATGGATTCTTCCGTCTTTCCCTTTTTGGATTTAATGAGAGACAAATTAATTCAACTCAAGGTCCCCTTCAGAAATGGGAGGAGCTGTGACCCTGTCTGAGGCAGCTTCCTTCCTGTCGGCCATTTTAAAGGAGGGCCCAGAGTTGAATTCCACCAGTGGCTAATCTCACATCAAGGCCTCTCAATGAAAGCCACTGAAACAATATTGTATGCATACACGCACAAAGAGAGGCACACACACTTCCACTTGCAATACAGCCCTGCACTAATGCTAACTGCAAAAAAATGCTAATGCCTGTCATCATTTCAGAACCGCCCCTGTCATCTCTGCAGCAGCACAGCTTTAGGGGTCAAAGGTCCTAGAAGGAAACCGTTCTTTCCTGGTTGTTGCTAATTGGACAGGCAGGCAGGTTGCTTCCTGGTTAGTGATTGACCTTGACAAGATAGTGGGAGATTCAAAATATCCCCGTCATTCTCTTCATGTTTCCTATCCTCTCCTTCGAGGCATATTTCGTCTTTCTCACGAGCAAGACTCATAACTGTCATACACTAGTCTCTCTCGTTTGGTCTTTTCTTCCATGAGTTGGAATTCTGCTGTTGGACCATCGGGGTACAGACGAAGTCTCCTTTGTTGATATCAGTTTATTTTCTGATATTGGCAGATATCCTTCTGATTTGATTTAAGTCTGGTGATTTGAACTTAGAGTGGAATACAGTGTTACCAAAAGCTCAGAAAAACAGAAGGCATATGTTGCCAGATTGTGGGCTGCCTTGTTTCAAGTTCTGTAATAAATTTGTGTAGTGTATTGAATTATTAGGTCATTAGCAAGTCCTTTGGAGCACAATGGTGTAGCATAAACATTTTAAATCTTTCAGAGGGTCATCAGTTGGTTCCCTCAAATTGGTTGCAAGGGAATGACTTAGTCTTTTAAACTGCCAGTCGTTGAATGTCTAATTTAAAACACTTTAAAAAATTTTTTAAGAGAGCTGAAATTTGTTCTTTCAAAAAAGCTCCCTAAAAACCTTGGGTATCTTATTAAAATATTTTTATCATCCAACATTCGTTCTTTTCCCCTCCTTTCCCAGGATATTTTAAATTCTATACTTTCAATTTAAAGATGCTATTTATCATTACAACTCTTTTACAGGTGTGGGATTCACAGCTTCACAGATTTCTTATTAACACTTACATACTTTGTATTTGCTAATTGCTCATTGTGGTAAAGGAGTATCTCTGTTTTTTCACTAAATAAAAAACAATCCATGTTTCAAATGCAAGAGTACCAGTACTAAAGATCTTTATTAGTTATAGAGACCTCTGCTTTTCAGTGACTTTGAGTTTTCGGTAAAAATGATGCACATGCTAAATGTCCCCAGACAATATTTTTCTCACTCTGAACTTTATCATATGCCTCCTACTGTCACATATACTGAGTATAGGTGAAACTACACTCACACACATACACTGTACCTCTGTGTCAGGGTCTCTGCTGTCTTCACCATCACCAGATTACATCAAGCTATTCAATCTGTAAATGACTTCCACCACAGAGCACACCCAACACGCACTTTGGGAAATGAGCTACCTAACTCACAATGACCCTACCCAGTTGTGGTTTGTGTGTGCCTGGTGCTGTGCTTGTTTGTGTGGTCCAGGTCTGACTCATGTGTATGCATGTGTGTGTGTGTCCTGTATCACCTCTCCATGTTACTGTTAAATTAATATCAAGGTTGCTTGAGAAATAATTAGTCTTGACGTTCATTCATAATACTCCCATCAACATTGACCACTTAATCACTTAAACTTGTAAGTATCAACAAGCTCTCCGCTCACTTGTAGATGACATTTTGTTTCAATGTGTGTGTGCTTATTTGTGTATGTGCAGTTTTTAAATGTGTGTTCATTCAGGGAGGAAATGTTCCCTGTGTTTGTAAATACTGTAGATGTGTGTGATACCACGAGCACGTGTGTGTACCAGATGCCCTCATCTTCCCTCTGAAATGCTGACAGACCGAATCGTTTCCAAACCAGATGCAGCGCTCTATGGCAGCACGCTTTTGTTTTTGCATGCAGCAATTCCATTACCCGCAGCTTTCATTATTTTAGCATGGTATGTGTGTGTGTGTGAGTGTGTGTGCTGTGTTTTAAATGTGATGAAAGGAATCCTCTGCTCAAGTCAAAGTCAGGTTATCTTTCCCCACAAGACAGTCAAACAAACAAAAACACACACAAACAGTGTGACCATCACAGTTTTATTCTTTTGCTTTCCCAGGTGACTTTTACCACTCTGACATGCATACATATCTGCATGTGTATGTAGACACTAAAGCATTCACAAGCAAAAACAAAAGGCACTGGGTTGTGACTTTCTGTTGTCCATCCATCAAACAGTGAAACAGAAATTAAATTAACTTGTTTTATGTGTGCATAATGACTTTCATGGCTGTATTTTACATGAAGAAACAAACTGAAATCTAAAACATTTATTTTACAGGTCACATGGTCACCTCCTCTGATTCCCAATGGAGAAATTTATGGATATGAAATCCGTCTCCCAGAACCCCGTTTCTCCCATGACACCAGGAATCTATCTGAGCTTAATGTCACCATCAGAAGCCTTGTTCCATACAGGAATTACAGTGTCACTGTGTTGGCTTGCTCAAAAGGTGGAGGACATGTTGGGGGATGCACAGAAAGCCTTCCAACTCCTGCTACTACATTACCCACAAGACCTGGAGGCCTTGCACCTCTGTCAATAGTGGCAGTCAGTGAGTCTTTACTGGTCATTTCCTGGCAACCACCAAGCAGGCCTAGTGGACCTAATATAAGGTAATTTTTAGGACACATAGTTCAATGCTAAAATGTGTCTGTCTTGTCAGGATTTTTGAAGCTACCATGTTCCAGTATTTCTTGTAGTGATTTTTAAAGATGCATTCAATTTCCATTAACAGCAGACCTATTAAGTTTTGGAGAGAATTGTTTTGTTTAATTTCCTTTCAAACAAGCATCAATATGTGTCAAAAGACAATTTGTTCAGCTCAAATATGCAGCGGGGAACTGGAAAAAGACAGGCAATTAACAAGTCATCTGTCTGTTTAACCAATCAAATCAATCAAGAACTGATGCCAAAGTCAGGTTCAAAATCAAACGCTTTCCAATACCTATTGGGGGGAAAACAAATACCCGCTTTGTGATTGAATATTCTAGAGTCCTTATTTGGATTGCTTTCAATTAAGATATACTCTCCATTTGTGACAAAAGTGATCCGATGTTGCCATACACGTATACGAGTCTTGAATGGTGTCATACTTAAAACCAAACATTATCTGTAAATTCTACATCAAGTCATGGGTTTGAAATGCTGCCGTGCTTGAGGAGAGAAATGCACAAAGCTGGTATCTGTACAAGGAGATACACATTCATGATACAAAACAAAATATGAGAGTCCCCGTTTATGTAACCATTTTAACTACTTTAAATAATAGTTTGCTAACCAGACAGGCGAGACCAAAGTCAGCTTCTCGATTCTCTGAGACAAATTCGGGATGTGAAATTGCTGCTGAAAAACCCCAGCAAACAAGCAGATACAACACATTAGCAAGCAGCTAACATGAGTGGCCAGCTAATGAGCTAGGCGTTGTGCATTTTAATCAGTGTTTTCTCAGTCTTAATGCACATTCTGGTCTACTTTGTTCTGTCCTGTTCTACTCTGTCTGCGATTAGGCCTAAAATAAAGGTCCATTTTACTCGCAGGCGATTAAAATGCATGAGCCCGTCTCTCTGTTCTGCACTCCTCAGCTTTGTATGTTTGTCTAAGTGGGTTGGTTAAAAGGCGGCATTAAGCCCTTCTCGTCTGATTACAGCAGAAATTAGCATCACTGTGGGGAGAGAAAAAGCACAAATCCTGCAGAAAAACAACGGATGGCGGGGTGGAGAGAGGGATGAGATATAGTGGAAGTAGAAGAATAGAGATGATGAAAAACAGCAGAAGAGCAGGAAATGAGTGATAAGAGTCAGTTGAAAATTGTGTGTGCGCAATTCCTGGCGTTCATAGAGTACCGTCTCTGAGTTCTTGTGTGTTAATGGATTCCTAAACATCCAGCCTTGTGTGTGTGTTTTCTTTTATTCTAATTTCCACCTCAGATACAAGTTGCTCAGACGTAAAACCCACCAGCCCCTGGCCATCACCACAGTGCCCACAGTAAAAACCATGTCCCCATCCCCCTCTGAAGATCTCCATCACTGGCTTCATGTTTACTCCGGCACCAAATTGTTCTACCAAGATAAAGGCCTAAGCAGGTGAGATTACTGAAATGAGCTCTAGAGCAAACGGCAGCGCTGCAGCAAACAGTGTGTGCAGAGCTGATCTGGGAGCTGCTGTTGATGTCGATCTTTTAATACCGCTCAAAGATACATTAATCAAATATCCCAAAGAATTAAATTGTTTTTCACACAGCGTCCCCTAATCTCAGTTGGGCACTTGGTAGAAGCACTTTTTTCTGTCTCCTCACTAAAAGACTGTGGGTCTGCCTATACTGTGCTTTATAGTAAGCAATCGCCCTAAAATAGAGGAAAATACTATGATTGTTGTTTTTGCAGACTTATTTCTGGGCCTGACCAGGAATTAGGCTTAATTACTTGCATGTTTAGATGAATTCACTTGCAGTTTTATGAGCATTTTCTCCTTACAGTTTCCCGTATCATATCTATTTGTATTTGTTTTACCCCACACAAGAAAAAGGTTGCATTACTTTGAAATCAGAAAATGCACCTGGTACATGTTCTCCACAGATTCACCCGTTTCCAGTACCAGTTGGTTGTTCATAATGATTTCGGTTTCACCTCGGGAGAGATTGTTACTGCAGTGACCATGGCAGGGGCTCCCCTCAAGCCTCCATCTCTGTCTGCTCATGCTATCAATCACACAGCCATACAAGTCAACTGGACAGAGCCCTGTAAGTTTTCCCTCTACTCTCATCACACAAAGACTCTACCCAGCAATGGTCCTTAACCACAACAGAAGAATAAACACACATAGACATAACAGAAAGACAATCAAGCATACACAGATAGTTGAACATTTTGTCTGCATTAATGTTAACCAAAATTTAACATAAATATGACCCAGAATATCAGATCATAAGGTCATATGGTAATATAAGGGAACTGAGGTGTGACTCTTTACTTAAAGCTGTGCTCTACATATCACTGATGTTGAGTAACATGCTGATAATGCACTTGAATAATCATTACATGATGTAGAACAAAACTTAGTGACACGGAAGGTAAATTGGACTTTTTCAATCATGGATTAAAACACATAATTCTTTCTGAGCCACCTCTGTTTGCTGACCACTGCTGATGTGGAAAGCAATGGTATTCCAGTCACTTGTACACAATCTGCCAGCAGATTGGCAAAGTCCTGACATGTATTGAAGTTATATCATCCCGATGAGCATCATCAGCTCTCCATCTGCAGTCATTGCTCTTTATGTAAAAAAGGTGCACCCAGTCTCACTCGATCTTCACCCCACTGATTGAAAACACTTGACTTTCATTTCACCTACAATTTATCCGCTAATCCTAGAATTTCACATACATGTGACGCTTTTGTAATATTTAGTCGGTTTCTTTTTTCTTTCTTTTTTTTCGGTTCTTCTTATCATCTTGTTGTACGTGATCAAATTTTACAGTACGTGATTCAGTTCTTGATGTAAATGTTCGTAACTTGTTTTTTCATGGCATTGTGTTCAAAGATATCCTCTTGCCTCTTTGAGAGATACCAAAAAGTAATAGAAAAGAAATAAACTTCAGTTTTGTGTTATGTTAAATGCTCCTTTGCTCTTTCTGTTTTCTCCTAATGTCTCTCTCAGCCTTGCAAGATCTGCAGGGAGATGTGCAGTCTTTCTTTCTTGCAGTAGAGTCTCCTCAGCCTGGTCTGGTTTTGGCTTTTGGACCGGAGATAAAGTCCACAGTGATAAGTGACCTCTGGCCCAGCACCACATATGTGGTGTCATTACAGGTGTCCAACGGAGCACATAATACAACTAAAGCAAAAGTTAATGTCACCACGGCGGATGGAGGTAATGGTATATTAGATTGTGATGTAGACTAGCCTCTGATTTTGTAAATGAAATTGGTCGTTATCCATGTGTGATGTTGTAATTATGCCATGTGAATTGTGTCTATATAAGTGTGTCGTGTGCAGTACATCAGCTCACTATATCCATGAGATGTGTCTAGATTAAGATGCATTTCTCTGCAACTTTTTGCTTCACAGGAGATGTTAAACACATCATGTAGTGAGGCATGAAATCAATACAAAGTGTGTGTGAGGCAGATTTAAGGTGTTGTAAAATGCTTGTTGGCACCATGTACACACAAACTGCCCTCTCATGATCTGGATTCACAAGCCATGCTATACCCATCAAACAAGAAACCCAACATAGACACTCCTGTTATCATACAAAGTTTACTTTTATACTCTATGGTTTCTTTAAAACCACTTTGACTTAGTAAAATCAACCGAAAAAGAACACTGAGTAAAATTTTTATGGAATTTTTTTAAAGCAGGAAACATGTTTTTATGTTTGATATAGCAACAAACTTAAGAAATAATCTATTTTCATTAATCTGCTAGTATTTGTAAAATTTACAAGTAGGAGGATATTACTGGAAGAAGAGTAATTTATCTAATTTATTAAATCTATTAACCTATACCAGGTTCCTTATTTACCTCTTCTTAACCCCTTTTTACCACTGCCTTCACAATAAAAACTTTTCCTTCAAATCTCAAATGTCACATCCCAATAAAATTCTGTCTTTACTTCTGTCTTTTCACTTCCTGTTTCAGTATAATCATATGTCAGAGGCCTCTTTCCTTTGCTCTAATCCGAGCTGTATAATAAAAAGTGCATTAAAAACATTAGAAAATCATTAGGTGCTAAAGGCAAAGCATGCCTCGTTTAACTGAGAGGGCTCTTGAGGTAATTTCATTATTTTACAGCTCTAAGAGTGCACACATACACACACACGTTCACAGATATACACTAAGGGACCTAATATATTTTAACTAATGCAGCTCAACCCTACCAACCATCCTAACGCGGCCTGCAATCTATAGGGCAACACTAATGTCAGAACTAATTGGCAAGAAAAATACATGTGCATGTCTGTGTGTGTATGGGGAATGAGGCTCAGTGCTCAGCATTGCGTTGATAATGCCTTTCTACAGTAAATGAAATGTTGAGCACTGGGTTGGATTTAGGTAAGTGCATTGGCACTAAATGAATTGGGTTAACTTCTCATAGCTGAGTACATTTTCACTTAGAATAATAGATGGTGTCTGTGTGATTACCCCTCTCACATCTGTAATTCTCACACCTTATTCACTCCCTCTGTGTTTGACTCTCGCTTTTCTCAGCTTGATTTTGATCATTAACTTTCATCATAAAATTGTAGCAAAGCTAGATTAACAATATTCTCTGTTCTTTCTTACTCTTTTGGTCCTTTACTCTGTGTCTGACTGTCATAGATAACTTGTAGTTATTCACTATTCTTCCATGTTTTCACTCTCCCTGTATAATACCACAGCACAGAAAGAGAAAGTAAAAAAAAGGAAAGTGAAAAGGTACTGTACAGAATGTCTTTCTGCAAACAGCTGAAGAGGATTTATTTATCATTTGAGTCACAGATGGTCCTTCACTTTCATAAATGAATTTAATTAATAAATATTTACACACAGAAATGTTAAATACAAGTTCAGAAATTATTAGAAATACATTTATTGGAAATAATCTTAATATCTGTCATTACAGCAATGCTATATGCATTTTTATATTTTTTAATGTTTTAGCTATTTGTTTATAATTTACCACCGCTTAGATAATCATCAACCAAATGTGGTGTTAAATATATCTCATGGTTTTGGCACAGACTTTTTTTCCGCACTCTCCTTTTGCTAAGGTAGTCTTTTAAAATTCACAAGCACTGAGATTGCTAGTTTCATCAGATGTGTATTTAATTCTAATTGTTCTTCAGCAAACAAATTTTGCCTTTGAAAAGCTGTACTTTTGTGTGCCTCAGAGCCAGAAGGGGTCTTTGCTCCAGAAGTGGTTACAGTAAACAGCAGCACAGCGCGTGTGCTCTGGTTCCTTCCTCTTCGACCCAACGGAGCTATCACTGCTTACAACGTATATGTTAACGATCGCCTTCATGGAAGCGTTGACAACAGCTCTGGCTCGTACCTGCTGGTGGGCCTACAGCCTTTTACGGTGTATAATATACAGGTACACATAACAAGAACAATAACAAGAAAATGTAGATGTTGAAACATGCGCAGTGTGTTATCGTCCTCTGTGTTGGCATGTGTGTTTCAGGTGGAGGTATGTACAGTGTACGCTTGTGCTCGAAGTAATGTTACCAAAACAACCACTGTGGAGGACCTGCCTTCTGACTTAGCCCTACCACGAGCACAAGTAATCAGTCCCAGGTACTGTGGAGAAGTTCTATCTATTGAGACAGATGAAGCTTTCATCTGACGTTTTTTTTTTTTTTTTTTCATGTTTGAGCAGATGTTTCAGTGCGATAGAGCAGTCCACCACCAATCCAGAGTATGCCAGAGTCTTCCAGCCGGCCTTTTACTGCAGTCAAACTCAGGCTTTGATATCTATTTCTGGCATTGCGACAAGCAATGGTTTACCACCATATGTTATTTGGGTGTTATTTAATCTTCTACTGATTTAATGATTAGTAAGTGACAGTATATTCACCAGGGATTCTGCCTGCCATTAAAAAAGTCAGATTTGGATCAGATCATCTACAGAAATACACAATAACTCCAATTTAGTTGAGTCATAATACATAACTACATAAAGGCATTCTATATTATCCTGTATTATTTATGGTGTTCTGCACACAAAATGATCAACTTGTGGTGGCAAACTGGCAGTTATTTGGAGTCAGTTTATAAAGGTCTAATTCCTGTATAAAACATGACTGGTAAAGTTGCAAATCTTATAGGTGCAAGTGCTGATTTGTAGCTTATTTTCTACCTAGGAGACTGTGAAACTCCACAGTCGGTGTATTACAACACAGATCTTTTTCCTGCCAAAGATGTCAGAGATAAAAAAGGGGAAAATCAATACTGTGAAGTGTATAAAGACACATCCTGACACTGTAACTCAACTATGTCAAGCATTAACCATGCATGAACGTATGTGTGTGTGGTTGAAAGTTTGTGTGTCTGACTGCTTGTGTACAATTGTGTGAAAGGAGTGAGAAGGAGACACATACACCCGCCTATCACTTTCACTTTGTTCTTTTCTCTCCCCTCCGCCCCTTCTCTGTCAGGTTGGTGAGATTAGATTGGTCCCATCCAGGCAAACCCAGTGGGATCATGCTGGGTTATGAGGTTTTAAGACGGACCCTTAGAACATGCTCTGACGGGCTGACAGGGATAACACCACTGTTGGGGAAGGAATCGGACAGTACAGTTGGTTTAAGGTTTAAATGTTCCTACCTGCGGTGTCCTGCGACTCATGGCGTATGTGGGACACACTGCTTCATTCCTGATGAACAGGTGTTTAGTTTTTTTCCAATTCGTCATAATTTATTTTTATGTATTCTGTTTGTTTTTTTATTTATTTTTTATCTGTGATTATTTCCACTGTCCAAATCACTGCTCGATGTTTTTGTCCTCTTCTCTGCTTGAGTTTGCTTAGAATTTTTAATCTCTCTGCTGTGATTGTCTCACCACACCCCTTTTCACCTGAATCTGTTAGCAGAGTTTGCCACAAGTAATCCATGAGGCCTTCACTCTCCTCAGTGTACAACAACAATGTGCAAAACAAGACAGATTGCCAGGGTTTTTTTCTATGGCTGGCCATCTAAAGACGAGATTACATTCTTTCTGTCTAGTTCCAGGTAGTCTCAGAGGATACTGGTCCTCAGCAAACCTCAAACATACACAAAAAGCACACATATGCTTTATATTGCGCAGCATGATCAACATCTCAGTGATTAATTTCTCTAAACAGATTAACTTGTCGTCTGCGTTGACTTCCATCCTTGTGTCATTGAATGTCAGCCAAGTTGGCAAAGGAATCTCTCTATACGTCTACCCACAAAGCCTCATTTAGCACAAACAGTTCAAACGCTTGAGCTAACATAAACAGATGTATCCATACAAGCCACATTGCAACTTTACATGCTTAGATTTAGTTTATGCAAATGTTCCCTTTAAGAGAAAGGTCGCTTTTTCAATGCCAGACGCACACACTCCACCCAAACATTCACAATATTTTTGTTTTTTTATGACATAGATATTGCAAATGAGGAATACAAGATTATTTAGTCGGTGTACAACCTCAAAAAATTAACAAAAGACAAAGTTTTGGAGAGCACCTTTTGTGATTTCACAAATTGAAAGTTTTTCATTTTTGTCATTTCCAGGTCTCTTTAAATGCCACTAAATGGTCACCATTATGGTGACCATTTTCAGAATAGCTCCATTCTGAAAATGACTTAAATCATGTGCTGTTGTGGATTTTGGTTACTCATTTTATTTTATTTGCATGCATCTGTGTGTGAATCAGGTTTGCTGCAGTGGATTATTGTACACAAAGAAGCCACATCACCATTGTTGCGAAGGAAGTTATCTAAGTTTCACTAATTCCTCCAATCCTGTGTGCTGCAATGGAAAACTTGTCCCACCTCTTCCAAACTACCAGTGCTGTGGAGGATATTATGTTCCTGTAAAAAACAGTGAGATTTTCCTTTCCTTTTTTTTTCTTTTTTTTTGCACTAACATCAGATGTAGTATGTTCCACTCGACTTGACTGTGCTCTTCTCCATGTTGTTTAAGTATTTCCTTCATCTGTCCTTGTCTTTGTAGATGAATACTGCTGTCCTGACCACTTGCAGGGCCGGGTCTCAGTGGGGCTGGGTGACAGCTGCTGCGGGGGGGTTCCTTACTCCATGACAGGCGGCCAGCTCTGCTGCACTGGGAGCTTTCATGATGGCTATGGGGTCCAATGCTGTGGAGGCCGGATTGTAGATGATACCCTGGTGTGCTGTGGTGATGCTGAAAGGGGGGAGGTGCATAGATATACTCCAGGTGAGAGAAAAGAAACACATCAGTGCACAATCCTCTTTTATCAGTATATTTTCATATTTTGACACAAGCGAAACAATTCAGATCTCCATTATAAGTTTTTTTCTATTAAAGTCTAATTAGATTATTGATTTTTTATGGGACAAGTTACTTAAAAAAGTGTTTTGTCAAAGTTAAATTTCGCAGGATATCTTTGTATCTGGGAGGGTGGGTAGACGGGAGAGTGAGTTAAAGAGATTAAGAATGACAGAAGAAGGAAGAAAAGGAAAAAGGTTGAGAGGAAGACACATGGTGCAGGAACGTGGGGTCGTTTCCCTGTCCTTCTCTCCTGCAGTGTCCCAAAGCACCCGGATACCATGGCACAGATGGGACTGTACGTGTGCGTCTTTGTGTGGGTGTCGGTGTAAGTGTGTGTCATTAGACATCTTTGTCATGGCAGATGATGATGAAACACACTCAGGATGGCACCGTCGAGGGCACTGCCAAGCACACAGCAGGAGAAATACACACGCATTCTCTCTCACACACACACTCTTCAGTACATGTAAACATATCACACACACTCACGCACACAGTCAACAGGGTGCTCTCGGCAGGATTCACTTAGTGTTGAATGCCAGAGACAGACACGTGGACTCTATTCATCACACATAAACAATGGCCCCATATGGGCAGGCCTATAGTACTCCATTAGCCTATCAACAAACACTGACACAGTCACACACACACAGGATGACTGCACACACAAAAAACACATAGATCCTGAGAGGAAAGTTGGCACAAATGCTAGTTGGGAGAGAAAACTTTTTCATTTTATTTCTCCCTGTCATCACTATATTTCTACTTTTCTCCAACATCTGTTCTCTTTAAGGGTTTGTTAGTGTCCTCTTTAGTAGGCAGTGCTAAACATTTCTAACAGTTTAAGCAAAGACTGCACCCCTACCTCCTATTGCGCATTTTTGTCCTATGATTCTCTTTCTTCTTACCAGCTGAGTTGTTTTTGTTTTTTTTCATACCAAGCAGCTATATGGTCATCATTCATTTTAGGAGGCCTCCTAAGGACTGCATATGCTCCCCACCTCCTTAGCCTCTTCATCTTCGTTTCATATTTAATTCCCTTCTAATTTTAATCTTTGTTGTCCTATTTTTGTCATCTGATTTTCATCAGCTCGTTTCCCACACTCCCTTTACTTCTTTGGCCTAGTCCTACGTTCTCCTTTTCTTCTTCCATGTTTTTCCCTCAACTCCCTGTTCATCCACCCCCTCCCTTTATGTGCCTCTTTCTCATACACTCATCAGTCATTAGCGTTAGCTTCCCCATTGAGAGCATATGGTATGATGGATTGTAGAGTTAGCGGTGCTAGCAAGGCTAAGGGCCATTTGCCGGGTGCATTGCGCTGTCGGGGAGCCTTGGGGCCAGCTATGCAACCTCGACCCCACATGTCTGTTTCAAGACAGTCACACAGCAAAACTTATTAAAGTATGGCATACTTAACCTTGGCACCACTCACTTTTGTCGTTTTTACTCACCAAGTCCAGGATTTTGTACCTCTGACAAAGTGAGAGACAGTTTTCTTAGTTGTAAAGGATGGACCAGAGGAAGAAATTTTCAATTATATTTGATTTAAAAAAATACAGATTTGATTCAATTCAAGGTAAAAACTGATTATGTGATGAAACCATTGCATTGTAAAAATTGAATCCAAGACAAACTGGATCAATTTAAATGAAAGAACTAGGTAAATTTGATGCATTTTCATATAGAAATTAGCAAAATATTGGCAAACAATTCACCATGAAGCAGAGATAATGTAGAGAAGTATTGACAAAAGAGGTGAAGTAACGAAGAAAGAACACAAAAGGTTGATCAAATAAAAATGATATCCGTCAGAAAAAAACAAACACACACGCAAAAAAAGGGCTAAAGTGAGTCAGAGAGAAAGCAGGAAAGAACTGAAGAGTCAGAGCTAGATAGCGCAGATTAAAGGAGGAGTGAAGGGTATCCCATTGTGCCCAGCTGATAGACTAGGTTAGGCTGATGTGATTATGGGGTCCCTGAAGTGCGATCTATCACACATTACCGTCCACACTGTCAACAACCATACACACACACTGCAGGGGAACTGCAATGCCAGGAGACAGCCGTCTGGCAACAGATACTCAAACCGGCTTGCGTGCTCATGCACACTTACACATAAACACACACAAGTACCTGTGCCCCTACACTGCAACCATCATACATACACACACATGCCAGAAACATGCCTGTGTGAACACACAGGATTGTGTGTAGATGCACACTCATCAAAAAATATGCCACGCATACACACAGCTGGGATATTTAGTTTTAAAAGGAAAAGCACCTAGTATAAATCAGGTGAAGCACAATAAGATTCAGGAATGTCACCTTATTCAGTCTGTCTACAAGAAAGATAATAAAACAAAAATACTGCCTTCTGTCTCTTTGGTTTTAATCCTTATGTTTAGTTACACTTCCTAAGTCCTCATACTTAGGATAACTTATAGAAGTCTCACCCAATAGTTATTTTTAAGGCTCCCACAAAAATAACTATGAAAGTAATTAGTGTTTATTTCCTGCTGTTAAAGATTGAAGGCTATGTCCATGAGCCCAGGTGTAACGAACGCAGTTACATGAGCATTTTTTTTGTGTGAATTTATTTTATTTTTTGTGAATGAATATGTTTTACTTTTAATATCTATTTAATATCTTTGTGTATTTTGATTAATATGTAAATACTTTGAAAATGGTTTAACAATGTTATATTGAGATGTCGCCGATTGGGTTCACAAAATCACGTGATGCCTTGGCTGAGTTGTTTACAATTAGTCCGTATGCAGGAGAAAAAGGAAAAGGACGGAAAGAAAGGACTCCTAGTAACTCCTAACCTTCTGGTTGGAGGGGCATACGGTACGGACAATTAAGAAAATGTATATTTTGTTTAAGAAGTTTAATTTGATAATTCATGTAGGTTTTGTTGATGTATATTTTGTACCGTGTATTTACAGTGTTCACGGTGGTCTTGGGCGAGCATTACGGCAAGTCCGTTAATAAACGTTTCAAACCATCAGTTGGATGTCTGCACTTTCATAAACCAGAGAGAAAAAGTTGGGAGCAGCTATACCAGGTGTGTGAGCAGTTAATTGGTTCTGAGTATTCTCTGCCATCTTTCTGTACTGTTACTGTATGCCAGCCCCAGCTGACTGACAGTTTTAAAGTTGATGGTCAGTTTACTTGAGTTGGACACTTCATCACTGAGACAGTAATCCTCTTGCTTGCTTAACTGAGCAAGGTTGACCACCTTAATGTCTCTTTCAACTATTTACATTATTATCTAGACTAGAGGCTCCCATATTACCCGAAGGGCAAATGCTGAATGTCAATATTCAATGGTAATGCAAAAGAAGGACAACTACTGAAAAGATATGGGTATGTCACTGTAGGTGCAACAACTGTAGATGTTTGCAACATTTTGTTGCGAGGCTTGCAGCTTTCTGCAGAACGTATGTCTTGAATACATTTGAATAGCTACTAGGAGACTGTCGTGTTGATTAATAATCAACAGATCGTGACAACGGACCACTCATCCTTTCTGCTCAACTGCAGTTTATCCTCAAGCGCCAAATGTCTGGTATAGTAAAAAATATAGTTATATATGACATTTAGTGGCAGTTGCATGAGAGTATTTACTTTTGTTATGGAAAAAAACTGAAAATGGGGGTATCCATTGTTGTCTGGTGTAATTGTCAGCCACACCTCTTCCAACACTTGACCATGAACCTGCTTTGATTATTTAGAGCCTATATCCCCCTGTAGCAACTGGCCTGGCTTCTACACTGTTCAGTTTTAGTTTCTGCTGTAGTACTGAGACAAGCTATAATCCTTGCCTCAGTATCCCCAGTTTTTCTACAGTAACACAGTCTCTGTGTTAAATCCTTTCCTTCCAAATCTGCCTGTTTGTTTAAACAGCTTTCATTTAACTTTCATGTAGATCACATGCTGTTTATTTTTGAGCAAGTGAGCCCCAGTTTTCTCACAGTATTTCCTCCTATGTTAGCAGGTTCACCATAAACTTTTAATCTCCTCATTTGCATCTTAGTTTGTTTACAAGATGTTCATCTGAGATTTAGACGGTGTTTAAAGGAGCATGGGTGGTGTCTTTGCCCCCCCCACTGCTTCCCTGCCTTACTGCGCTCTCCACTAAACATATCCCCTTTACACTTTTTTTTTAACTTTAGTTTCCTTTTTTTTTTTTAAATCTTCCATCTGCCCTTCAACCCCACAGACACATCTCTCACTGTGGGTGCAACTGTAAATGCTCTCCCCGCGTCACTCTTTCTGAAAGTGAGTAAATCTTAAAAACGTGTGCATTTCTTTAACTCCTTCTCTTACTCCCTCCCTCTGTCCCGGCCCAGCAGGCCCTATCCAAACGTTCAAGGACAAATCTGAATATCCCTTTTCACCGTTTAAGTGTTAAAAGCCTGGCGGTGCCGGGGTGTTATCTTAACGCGCCTTGCCATGCCATCATCAGAGCGCGTGATGAAAATGGCTGTGATGATGCTAAAAGAAAAAAAGAGGAGGGGGAAAAGTAATAATCAAATATGTTTTTCAAGGGCACAGTGACCATTTGCTGGAGGGAAATTATCCCAGTAGTTAAGCTAGCGCACTCCGAGCCTGGTGGAGTTGTGAGAGTGGATGCGTTTGTGTGTATAAGTGAGTGCAAATGTGCATGGTGTATTTTTTAAACTCTTTGCATGCATCTTCTTCTTTTTGTAAGAAGCTGTCTCTGTCCGTATATGTCTGAATGTGTTAGCAATTTTTATAGATCTTTTCACAGACACAAATCCTTTGCATATCCTTTTATTGTTTCTGCCAAAAGATTCTAATCAGTGTCTGAGTGTGTATATCTCTGTGTGTGTTTATCATTGCCAAGAGCCTCTCATCAATGATGGGTAGCAAATGGCCAACAGTAGAGCATTCCAAACAGCAGCAGCGTCTGGCTGCTTTAGAAGATCGAGTGCTCTCTGAACACAGGAAGACATTTCT